TACTGTTAAAAGCCATAAGGATTGCAATTATTAAAACAATTTCAAGTACTAGATATTTTAAACAACACTATTAGTATCTTTTGGAAGATGTGAAAATCACTCTAAATCAGACTTGCACAACATATGGCTGGTGGGCTGCTTGGGCCCTGCCAGAGGATTTCGGCCAGTCTGTGAGAAAGGTAGAAGATGCAAAGGAAAATAAAGATGTAATGAGTACTTTCTGGAGAAGCACTCATTTCTAGGTTGGTGTTGGCAGGTGAGTATGGGAACCAACCGAGCTTTGCAGGGTATGGAAAGAAACATGCCCCTCTCAGCCCCAGACATCAATTTATCCTCCCCTTGCCCAGCTATGAATGGGAATTGCCCACAGACTAGGCATGAAGAACACTGAAAATTCCTTCCAGGGATATAAACCAGCCAACAATAAGCAAACACTACCAGAAGAGTGAGCCAATCAAGAACAACAGCCACTGACACCAGGTTTGGGGGGTTTCAAGCTGTTCGAGAAGGGAACCTGTAATTGTTTTGTGTTAAGGACCAGTACCATAGTTGTGCCCATTGGCTATAACAGTTTCATTACTCTATATACTCATGTATAAGTCTAGAAATGTTAGTAAAAAAATTCAACCCCAAAAATCTGCATTGACTTATCCATGGGTCAGGTGTAGATTTTTTGAAAAAAGAAACCATTCCCTTTTCTGAGTAGAGTGGTGAAAACCAAGATCTTAGCCCATCCCCGGAGAATCTTAAAAATGCACTGACCCTTGCTAATCTCTCTGTTGCGATGAAGCTTCTGGCCTTTCTGAATGACAGAGGTTGGAAATGATGGTGGTTGGTGACCCAAGCTGGCATTGGTGCTTTCTCTTCCCTGCATAAAAGCCCACAATTTATGAATAGTTCATACAATAATCCATAATTTGGCCCCAAAATATGCCCTCTACTGATACTCGAGGTCAATTTATACATGAGTACATACAGTATTTCCTAAAAACTACCCAGGACCTGGTAGCTGATAGTTCAAGGACTGGCATTGCTCCTTGGATCACCACTTGGAATAGGACTAATCTATACAAAAACATTTTTAGAATTAGGACTAGTTTTAATTTTAATGTAGTAACGTTTTCAATATGTGAAAAACAATTTTTTGCTCATTATTCATGTGCTATATTTTTCTCTCCAAAGCATTGTCTTTTAAATTGTTGCTTTTACTGGCTGAAAGGTATAGCTGGAGTACTGCCAATATTCACCTTGAGAGTGTGTGAGAGAAAGTATGTGTGGATTATTAATTAAAGGCATTTAATTCAGATACTAGGGGAAAGGCCATAGCACAGTAGTTGGCCACATGCTTTGCATGCAAAACATTCCAGACTCAATCCCTGGTATCTCAGGCAGGAATGGGAAAGATCATTATATGAAACTTTGGGAATTCATCAACCATCATTGTAAACAATATTGACCTAGAACAAATGAATAAATGTAAAGGTAGTTTACTATATACTTACTCTCTTTTTCATTATCTTTGGAATGATACTACACTTAAAATCAAAACAACACAGCCTAGCAATGTTGAATAACCTGTAAAATGGGCTATAAATAATTACTTTAAGGTATCACAGGTTATCACAATAGTCTACTTTGCAAAAACTGCTGGAGGTTTAGGAGTCAATCCATATTCTTAAACTCACATCCGAGCTTGAGGCATATACATTAAAGGCAATAGATGATTATCTGATGTTAAGCATTTCTTTTTTGCCTATTTTTATGAGAGAAAAAGACGTTATTGGCTTGGTGAAAGAGAAAACAAGACCAGCATTTATTTAAGAGAACTAGCCAAAAAAATATTGGTGACTATGTTGTTTTCATAACAAAATGCCTTTTTGTTACTTACGAGAATTCTGATGAAAAAGATAAAGGCCTAAATCCTACTTTTAGTCCTAACCAGAGAAGTGGGGCTTACATGTGTGCTAAATGTCATCATTCAAAATAAGTTTGCTTTGAGTTAGGACTACCAAGAGGCCAAGAAAAATAGTGTGGAATAGTAAACAGCACCTACTTACAAAAATAGGGTTAGTATCTACTAATCACTCCCATATGAATTTATTTCTATTTAACAAACTAAACCTTCTTTTTCACAAAGTGAGAAGAAAGCAAAGAGGAGTCCATAACTCTACATCTGAGCAAGCTACCTCGTGCAGAGAAAGAATTCTAAACAATAAAACCTAGGAAAGAATATCAAGATATCATCACACTTCACCAGCAAATGGTGTATTTGCAAATGGAAGAAGTTCCTAGCATTCTACCGATGTTAAATAGTAACAGTGACTATAAACAGGAAATGTAACTTTGGATATATATATATATATATATATATATATATATATATATATATAGTGTGTGTGTGTGTGTATAGAGAGAGAGAGAGAGAGAGAGAGAGAGAGAGAGAGAGAGCGAATTATATCTAAAAGGAATGTTCTACACTGTTTTTATCTGTCCATACAAAAGGTGCCATTTAAAATAACTGCCATCGAAGATACCATATTCTACCCAAATGGGCTTCAATATAAACAATGAATCTGTGTGAAGTAATTCTTCATGGAGTTTTGGAAATTTTAACCATGCCAGAAAAATCTTGCAGTGGCATATTTAAAATGTTATAAATGCCATTTTTCATGACTAGGTTTTCACACAGTGAGAGATTGTGCTATGCATACTGTTAGTTTTCATTTATCAAGCCTGCGTTGCCTACACATTTTTGTGTGTGTATTTTTGTTCCACTTACATGTAAAGCAGCATGGAAGCTGTTGATTATGCCTAATTCTACATTTTGTTTAGGGCCAATAATAAAAGCACATGTGATTTTCTATTGTGATTTCTGTGGTATTGATATATAGCTGGAAATTTTAATGCTTCTAATACAAAATAAAGTTCATTTTTATAAGCTTTGAACACTCATTGAATTATGATCAGTAGAATCTCCTGTCTAGGTGGGTAAACAAATGACTTGGAAATTGAGAAGTTTTGCAACTTTGCTTCTGCTAATTCTGCATGAAGAGAGTAGGCACTATTCCATATGAAACAAGCTTTACAGGTACTGTCCACTTCATTAACATTTCTTTAAAAATCAGAAACCACCTTTGTACAAGCAAAAGTGCAGGATATAAAATGATTCATGGACTCTGTCATTCATACCTATGGAATGTAGTCCAAAAGAGCAATAAAATATACAAAACTGTAACAGCCTCTTTCAGCTTCTTTTACTTTATACTCTATAATAAATTAAGTGTTTTCAAGTGAAATATTTCACATATATCTAGTATTTCAGATACCTATTTATCTCATTAAATTATTATAGCTCTAACTCTGCACAGCCCTGTCTTCATTTTCTATTTTTATTCTTGACTTTACTGTTTCATTCTATAAAATTGGTCACCTTATATACTCATATTGTTTGCTGTTTTATTAAATTAGTTTTTCAAGTTATTACTATGAATATTTGTTCTGTTATTGTAGGTAAGACCCAGTGAGCAAAGCACATGATTATTAAACATAACTATTACAGCTTGGATCAACACATGTATTTTATGAGTAGAAATGCACTTCTGCTTATCAAAGGCAGTCCCGAATTCTTCTGATTTCTTCATACCCTTTTACCCCCATCACATACCATCTCTGAAGATCTCTTAATCCCCAAGATCCGGGCGGAAAAGACTCAAAATAAGAAACTATTTTGAGAGAGATGAGCCAGGAAAGCACCCATTATGCAACAAGGTTCTGATTGCCTATTTCTGAATCCATCCTAATGAGTTGCATTTAAATACTGGAAAAAATACATTCATGGGACTGTAAATATCATGGTTAACCGAACCTTTGATCTCTAGGAATTACATTAAACATTTTCTGAATACTAGGCGCACTCTCCGAGTGCACGCGTATGTGTGCACACACACGAACAGATTAACCATCCCTTATCCGCAATTCTGAATTCCAAAACTGTTCACATGGGTGCTGAAATAGTGACGATTTTGCTTTCAATGTACACAAACTTTGTTTCATGCACAAATTAAAAATATTTCATAGAATCACCTTCAAGTTATGTGTATAAGGTGTCCATGAAACAAAAATGAATTTCATGTTTAGACTTGAATCTCATCTCCAAGGTATCTTAATATGAACATATGTGCAATTACATGTATTCCACAAATCCAAAATCAAAAACTCTTCCACTCCCCAGCATTTCAAATAAGGCATACTCAAAATTTCTTCCGTTGATTTCCAGTATAACAAGAACAGTTAAGGTTTCTGTATGAATACCAGAATAATAACAGTACTTTAAAACCTAGCATTTATGTTAACTTTTAAAATTACAGACATATTTAAATTAATATTTTGAGTCATGTTATTATTACAAAAGGAGTCATTAATTCCTTGGTGTTTGAATCCGTTTTCATCTAGAATTTAAAGATGAAATGCTCTTAACTGAGAATGAAAACTGGGAAATAAGTTTAACTAGATGGGCAGTTTGAGTTTTGCTCAAGTTAGATTTATCTAGGAATAGATAAGGTACATTAAATGTTTTTTTTGCAGAAATTGAACTCATCTACTGCGTAGCTCTTGCTTTCATGTTCATGTACTAGTAGGCTAAATTGCAGCATTAAGTGCAGAAATGTCAACATTTTTGGTTTCTAGAAAAAAAGTGAAACTGAGGTTTTGACAAACTTAAATGAAAGAGCTCATTTTAGGGCAGTTTGTTAGCATTTTGCCTGACCTAGAAGTAATTCACTGGTCTACATGCTCATGTGGGGAGAGGGGCATCGATATAAACAGCATACTGTACACGTGCACAATCCATAAATATCACAAATGCATGCAGTAGCAGCTCAAAGAGACTGGCTGATTGGGAAGGCAAGGCAAAACAAAACAGTTTTCTGCAACATTTCTGGGGACAGGAAGCAGTGATCAGCTGCATGCATGTTACATACAGTGGAACACAAATACCATACCTGAGGGGTGAGCCGATGAGCAATGAAGGAGGGGTAGGGTTACTCCCTGCATTGTGACGGCGCCGTACTGCCTGACGCCTAAATGTGCTGCGTTCACGACGAACTGTGACCGCCTCCTCACTGGCTTGTGCTGCTGCATCAAGACAGACCAAGTCAAATTGGAGCCCAGTCCAGTTATGTACACAGCATGTTATGCTTTTCCCCACAAGTAAGGATACTGATCCATTCTGATGCAAAGAACTTGATCATTTAGAATTCAATTACAAATGAAGAAGTTTAATTGTAGAATTGTTATCTTAAAAATGTACAAACTTTTGCTCTCTCAATTTTGCTAAATTGATTTATAAGGTCAATAAATTTGAGTAAAGAACAGTTATTGTAAATGTACCACTTTAAAAAAAAACCTTGTTTTTTTAACTGGAATTTAAAAAACTCAGTTTATACTTATATGTTAAAGTGAATTCATAAATCTCTGAATGCTAAGTTACGGTCTGCTTTTCAATATTAGAATCTAATTTACAGGAGGTACATGGCAAAAAGAAACAAAATTCCTCTTGGTTCATGAAACCAATGTCATGCCTCTTTGAGCCTTGGCTTTAGTCCTGACAAACATACAGAGAGTCAAATAAAAAACAACTTCACAGCTCTCCCTTGCCCAAGGAGAGGTCTATAGAATTCTGTAGTGCTAAAAGGCTATGGGTTGCATGAGCACAATATTTTGGAGTGCAGTATGCAGAGGATGAATTTAGTTACAAAACAATATGCTTGAGCTGGCAAGCATCTTGTTCAGGAAATGAATGTATTGCAAAATGGGAAACTTAAATTACTAATTTAGACAACTTTTTCTCTCACGGGTTTCAATCGTTTTGATTAAATCAACAGCCCTTCCTTCCAACGTTCCCATTTGCCTGTTGTGCATATGATCAAACCTCTTGAATTTATTTCAGGTCGATTAATTCTTTCACCTTTCAATATATGGGGAAACAACTCTGGTTAGACAAGCAATAGACATTTTAACAGAGTCTGCATTTTTTTGTGATTTTGCTTAAGTTACCTATCCATAAAATTTGAACAGCAGTGACTTATCCTATATGTTACAAATGTAGCATAAATTAAGAATAGCAGGGTAAATACCAGACAGCATCTTCGTCTCTCCTTTAGAATTCCTTTTCTTGCTCAGAGCATTTTGTGGAGTGTTATATTTTCATTTAAAACATATTCAGATGTCAAGGGACCAGGAAACTTAAAGTGTCTTATATTTGTTTTAAAATACTTGGACATATTTTATTAATCTTCAGTAACACTGTCTAACTTTTGTAATAGGGAACATAGACACATAGAATAATAGAGTTAGAAGAGACCATATGAGCCATCTAGTCCAACCCCGTGCCATGCAGGAAAAGCACAAAGTACCCGACAGATGGCGATCCAGCCTCTACTCAAAAGTCTCCAAGGAAGGAGATTCCATCATACTCCAAAGCAGAGAGTTCCACTGTTGAACAGCTCATATGGTCAAGAAGTTCTTCCTAATGTTCAGGTGGAATTGCCTTTCCTGTAATTTGAACCCAATGCTCGAGTCCTAGTTTCAAAGGCAGCAGAAAACAAACCTACTCCCTCTTCCTTATGACATCCTTTCACATATTTGTACATGGCTATCTTGTCTCCTCTCAACCTTCTCTTCTGCAGGCTAAACATACCCAGCTCTTTAAGATGATCCTCTAAAGGCATGGTCTTCAGACCTTTGATAATTTTAGTTGCCCTCCTCTAGACTCCTTACAGCTTGTCAATATCTCTTTTAAGCTGTGATGCACAGAATTGCACACCGTATTCCAGGTGAGGTCTAACCAAAGCAGAATACAAAGGCACCATGACTTCCCTCAATCTCTAGACACTATACTCCTTTTGATGGAGACCAAAATCCCATTGGCTTTTAAAGTTGCTGCATCACACTGTTTGCTCATGTTCAACTTGTTGTCCACAAAGACTCCAAGATCTTTTTCACATGGACTGTTGTCGAGCCAGGCATCACCCATTCTGTATCTTTCAATTTTTCTGCCACAGTGTAGTATCTTAGGTTTGTCCTTGCTGAAATTCAACTTGTTAGTTTTGGCCCAGTTCTCTAATCCTTTAAGGTCATTTTGAATTCTGATGCTGTCTTCTGGAGTATTAGCTATCCCTCCTAATTTGGTGAAATCTGCAAACTTAATAAGCATGCTCTCTAAATCTTCATCTAAGTAATTAATAAAGATGTTGAACAGCACTGGGCCCAGGACTGAACCCGGTGGCACTCCATTCATCACTTCTTTCCAGGATGAAGAGAAACCATTGGTGAGTACCCTTTAGGTTTGTTTAACCAATTAGATCCACCTAATAGTAGCATTGCCTAGCCCATATTTTTGACTAGTTTGCTTGCAAGAAGGTTATGGAGGACTTTGTCGAAGACCTTACAAAAATCAAGATATGATACATTCACAGCATCCATGCATCTACCAAGCTTGCAACACTATCGAAAAAAGAGATGAGATTAGTCTGCATGACTTGTTTTTGAGAAAGCCATGTTGATTTCTAGTAATTACAGCATTACTTTCTAAATGATTACAGACTGCCTCCTTAATGATCTGTTCCAGAATCTTTCCTGGTATTGATGTCAGGCTGATTGGATGGTAATTGTTTGGGTCCTCCTTTTTCCCCTTCTTGAAGATAGTGACAACATTTGCCCTCCTCCAGTCTGTTGGGACTTATCCTGTTCTCCAAGAATTTTCAATTATTGCCAGTGCTTCTGAAACTTCTGCTCTTTCCTTCAGTACTCTAGGGTGTAGTTCATCTGGCCCTGGAGACTTGAATTCATTTAGAGTAGCCACGTATTCCTGGACTACTTCTTTACTTATTTTGGGTTGCATTTCCCCATTACCTCGTCCGCTTTGTATTGCTGGGACGATGGAAAGTTCAAGTGTGCCTTTTATATAGCATTGCTAATTTACAATTTTAAAACCTTGTTCATATATAGAGCCTGAAAATATTACATCATTCTGGAGCTTGTCAGTGATAAAGGTAAGCCCTATTTAACTATTCAGCAATGTGTAATAGAAAGCTAATGGCTTCTTTTCTTTTTCTTTTTTGACTGTAAGCTCTTGGAAATGAAAGCTATGAGAACTGAGAACATTAACCCAGGACTACAGTCATTTGGTTAAAAGCCACATTGAAATATTCAGTTTGAATGTATTAATAGCTATATCCCAGACACCAATAAGTGGAGCAAAACCAAACACAATGCATAGATAAAATCATGAAATGGCACTTGAAACGGCTAGAGACAGGGAAAATCCACCAGTTGTTCAAGGTACTAACAAATAGCAGAATGGTGCTAAAAGGACTTCTGAAGACCTGACAATCAGCTAGATTGTGTGCCTTCCCTTCAAGCCAAACAGTAAAGGATAGGTTGTTTACCTATAACCACAGTTCTTCATGTGGTTATCTGTGAACTCACACAAATGGCTTAACGTGCCTGAACAGTGCATCACTTAGAAATCATTATGTCAACATTTTGATGGTAACTCATTTTCTCCTGGGTCCAAGTAACCAACCACTCAATTCCTCAATTTCATGGATGCTCAAGTTATAGCCAAGGACAAAATGTGAGGAGTTCACAGATGACCACTCAAGAACAGATAAGCAACTCACCCTCGTTCTCCATGGTCTCTGTAACTCATACAAATAGGGAGACTTAACAAAGTACTCATATCATGTTGCACAAGAAAACAGCACAGCTCTCCCAAAGGCAGCAACAGCCCTAGACTTTGCATCCAGTATATAGTGAGTGATGACGATCAAAGGTTGTGAATGTGTAGCTACTCTACAAACGTACTTCAACGATGTGTCTTTCAGAAAGACTGCTAATGAGGAGACACTATGCAGTACAGAACCCAACTCCACTCCACAGTATAGTCCATCAATTTTCTTAGATGTGGACCATATGGTAAAGGAGTAGCCCACAACCTTGACACAACATTCAAGAACAGGGCAGTTACGGAATCAATACGGGCACCTATTTTGAATCAGACCGTCCAAGGGTTCAGCCTCCTGTTATTTAACCTCTAACTTGAGGCCATGCAATCCATGATATCTGCTCTGCAAAGGCACAGATATAACCAGTCAGCAAAAGTGACACATGTTCCCACAGAACCGCTATAGGAGCATGCAATGGTGGCATGCTTAATGACATAGATGAGGCATCTGCTCAGAATAATCTGCCATGAACAAATCATGAAGAGTATGTTTACCAACTGGAGATGGAAAGAGAGATAAATGAGGTAGTCAGCATAGGGTTTTTGGTACCAAGGACTGAGTTCAAGGAAGTACCAGTGGAAGCAAAACAGGAAGAGTTGATTTGAGATACTGACTAAGAACAGTGAGCGGCTGAATGAGAACACTTGAGCTAGTGGACCAATGGCCTAGTGCAGAAATTTAGACTCAGCTTGATTAGGAGATCTTTGCCTGTTTAGTATTAACTTCAGTGATATGGAAATATGGTGCATAAGGAGATGCCCACTTCACTGATGGTGAAGTGGATCAGATTAGTGGTAATGTAGGCTACAACGGTTGCCAGTCCTGCTTATACTCCTTGTATACAAGCTTTGAAGATGAGTAGCCATCACTGGTAATCTCTTGTAATAAAACTTATAACAATCATGTTCCCAATCATCATAGCACCAAAACTCATGTCAATTTCAATGGCAACTGTGTTCAAAATGGTACCAAAAATGTGGCAGACACCATTCTTTGATAATATAAGACCATGCAGAGCTGGTATCTGAAGATAAACCTCTAACTAGGACAAAAATGAAGACAGGTGGTGATGAGCAAACTGAAGCAAAGGAATTGGGGGTGAAGAAAAATCCTTCTAAGAAAGAGAAGACTGGACTTCATGAACCACCAGAACTTGCATAGATTACCAATGGGCCACCACAGAGGGGGGTTCAATTATTTCCCCTTTGGAGGATGTACCAACAGGAATCATTTGATGCAACTTCTTGTGCAAAGGTATAACCTATATCTCTGAGTGTAGGGAAGATTGCATTAAATCAATGGAGCTAGAAATCAAGACTTTTCTCTCAGGTACCAGTTCAATCATAA